AGGAGGGTCTATACACCATCCTGGAGCCCAGGATGGCCCTGGCATGGCACGGTGGTGGTGTATAGATGCCTTCGTCGGATACTCAGTCGGAATCATCCTCAGGATCTCTCTGACCGATGGCTGCGAAGAGTGGCTGCGAGCCCAGGAGGGTCCCAAGAGGGGCCCAAGGGGGGCCCAAGAGGCGGAGCTCGTCAGGGCCACCGGAGCCCTCTCCCACAAGATAGCCCCCACTGCCCCAAACATGCCCCCAGGAACCCAAGAAGCCCCCGAAGGGACGCACAGAGCTCCCCAAAGCACCGAAGAGGCTCACGTGAGACCGCCCCCCAGGACTCCAAGGAGGCCTCCAAGGAGCCTAGCCACAAGCAGTGAGGAAAAGAAGGACGAGAATCCTGAACAACTGCACGCCAGCAGCACAGCGGGAATCGGCAAGCACGACACATGCGGAACACCGGAAGCCGCTCATCTCCTCTTCTTGGGGCGGCCGAATAGCTTCAGCTTCTTGAATATAAACTTATGTTGCTCCCATCGTACTGATGGTTCCGCGTCCCATAAATAATTTCGAGCACCCAGAAAAATATCGAAACAGTGTCGAACAGGCATCGACCCCCAGAGCCCGACACGTGAAAACCCTCTCATCTCAGTATGCTCCTGGCGCTCGAAACTCCTCCTCGTGATCGAGGCTAGAGCAGGTTGGAGCATCATGGATGTGGACCTGCACTGGCGCCCAGAAAGCACACGTGCTCGATGCTACCGAGTGGCACACGAGATGCGCCCGTGGGGGCTCTTCAGACCTGCGCGGCCCCAGGCTCGCGGGGGCCCTGGAGGTGCGGAGCGCCGCGGCGCGCAGTCCCTCGCTCCCCCCTCGCTCCTAACCTCACGCCTCCCTCGCTCCTCCCTCGCTCCTCCTCCTCCTCCTCCTCCTCCTCCTCCTCCTCCTCCTCCTCCTCCTCCTCCTCCTCCTCCTCCTCCTCCTCCTCCTCCTCCTCCTCCGCTCGCTCCCTCGCTCGCCCCCATCGCTCGCCCCCTGAGTTCTGGCCACTCGCCCAAGCCAGGACGAGGCCAAAATCGAGCGAGGATGAGTCGGGAATCCCTGAGATCCGGCGGCTCTGGAGGACGTCTCGGGCGCCGCGGCCTTCCCAGAGCGCTCCAAAACGCTCTGAGAGCGTCACGGATCGCTGCGGAACGGGTTCATCCTCGTCCTGGCCCGGTCCTTCTCGCTCCCCCCCTGAGTTCTGGCCACTCGCCAGGCATTTCCAATGGGAGCCGCCCTGAGCTGCGGGCCCGCCCAGGCGATGGGACGCACAGGGACACACCAGTACAACATGTCCTCCTTGAAGGCGTGCGTCCGACCCGAATACATCATACAACCATCTTGCAGAATCTGGTTACCCGAGCGGAATGGCTCGAAAGCGCGCCCAGCACGGAGCTTACCCTACGAGATTTCTCGGCGCGCACGCGCGTCACCCCTGGGGTGCAGACACGCTCATAGTATTAGCATCTTGGGGTGACGCCCGAGGCGAAGGCGGCCATGGGCGCCGCCGATGCCGCCCAGAAGCCGTGTGGCGGTTCTGGCCGCAGATGGCCGCGCACGGCGACTCTCCAGGCCGGTCGCCCTCAGAGCACGAGCGACCCGGTACTCTGAGAGTCCACGCCACGGGCCGCAGCCGCCAAGGCCTTTGCCACGAGGTCGACTGAACGCGATGAAATCTAGACACATCCACTGCTGGCCAGGCCCGTCCCGAACCCAGCAGCGGTATACACGCCACGCCCTCCTGGCTTGGCCTGGGGGGCGCGTACACAGCTCCTGGGTTCAAGGTGGGCCTGGCCGTGGAGCAATGGATATGTGTAGATTTCGTCGCCCGACGACTGGAGTACTCGAGGCATGTCACACAGGGGTCCACTGGCAAGCTGCCAGCACACGCACAGCTGTTCGCGGGCGCGCCTACCGCTATCTCCGTCAGCCTTGACACATCCTTTAGGGTCCGCAAGGCGAGCACGGCGCAGAGCATGATCTTCGGCATCCTCTGAGAGCTGCTCCAGGACCCCGCCCGCAGGCAGCGCTGCCGCTGTGGGTAACTCCAGCTAGAAGGGGCTGACGTCCAGCGGCGCTGGTGTGCAGCAGAAATGACCAGAAGTTGCCTTCGCCTGCACATGCTGGCGCACTACGTCGTCGATTTTCATGTCCTTGCAGGATGTATAATGTGGTGCCGTTGGAAGCGTCCAGGGTCTCCACATGGTCCCCCCAGAGCACGCGCTTGTGAACAAGCTCGACGCGGGGGTGCACTTCACTGGCGTATGTCAAACAATGCTGAAATACGACCGCGACCCCAAGCTGGTGACCATGACGTACAGACAGCATAGAGGAGTACCTGGGCAGGCTGTTCGGGGTCCTGTCGCCTATCCAGGTGCTCTTCGACATTCTGTGCAGGAGAGGCGAATCTCGGCTTCGAGATGGAGTGCTGCGTGCAGGACTCGCTGCCCTGCGCGGCTCCCCAGAAAA